CTTGGCTACTGTTAGTCACAGGATTACCATTATGGTTGAGATATAGTTTCAGCCCATCCCATGCTGCATGTTTGCTTTTCATGGTTTAACCCCAATTTCTCATCAGAGCATCTGCCATTAAAATAAGCAGGATATGTGAGAACAAATGCTTCAGATACCTGTCCTGTGGAAGTGTTGACTGTGTAGAAATAGGTCTGATGGGCTTTGATTTCACATGTTTTGAGTATGCAGGGGCAGTTGCATAGTGATATGGCAGAGGATTGCTCTGGTCATTTTTTTTAAAATGCACGCATCTGGCGTGTGTGTGTGTGTATGTGTGGGAGTGTGTGCTTGTGTTTGTGTATTCCTCTAGTGAGGGAAAACAGATCTTGGATTATCTTGGCTGAGCAAAATCAGTGTGTGAGTCCAGTCCTGTAACTGAGGATATTTCCTAAAGAAGATTCAGTCTATCCAAAATTGTTTTCTCTGATGTTTCTGACTTTCAAATTTTCAAATGAGTATCCAGTCTGTCACCTCAGTAATATGGTGGCCTTTGGCATAACCTTACATATTTGAATGATGAACTGATTTTCGTTGCCATACAGTACAGTTTTCTTCTTTCCTTGTTGATTTCTGATAAGGCTTGTAGCTGGAAGAGTTTGTCCACTCACAGAGTTCTGTGTCTTTCATTGTTGCCCTTGTTCTTCTGAAAATCTTTCCCATAATGAGCTACTTAAGATGTCCACAAGTTCTTCTGTGCTAACAAAAGGCATACCTGACTTCTTTTGTCTTCTCACTGTAGCATATGTTCATCATTGTCTGTAGAGTGGGAGTCACACAGAGGCTTTGTGGGACTGTGAAAAAGGAACCATGAGCCAGCAGCAAGCAGGGATTAGCAATCATACTTTTCCCCTCTACCTAAGTGAAAAAGAATAGGGTTTCTGAAAAGTCTTCAAGTAGATGTACAGTGTAGAAAAAAGCATTTCCTTACAGTTGGACAACTGTCCAACATCACAAAGCTGAATTTATATCAATCCTGCAAGCTCCAAGTGACATTTTGGAAGGTAGACCACTTGAATAGAATTGTACTTTATGTGTTTTTCTGTATTCTTCCTCATCAGAAATCGGCTAGAAAAGCATTACCTGAATATTCTTCAGTTTACTCTTAATGTTCCTGCCATTGTTTATGCAAAATATTACTTTGACCTTCGCTTTTTGATAAATGACCACCACCTGCACTTTGCGTCTGCACCACTCACCAAGGAAAGAGCACAGAACTTAGAGGTAAGTCTGTGTTTCCTCTAAGGACAATTTTCTGTGAGCCACTAGGAAACTGTATCACATAAAGTGGGGATGGGAGAAATATAAAGTGTCCATATATACACTCAAGTGGTTATTAACCCGTTGGTGTAAGTCATTTCCAGGTCACTTATCCTACTTACATCCACATTACAATGAAGAGACACATTATTTTTGACACCACTTGAGCATACGTTAATAAAACTTAATTTGATGAGGCCTCAGGACATAACTCTGTGGTCTAAATATCAGCCTGGAAAGAACAAGGGGATGGCTTCCATCCACGGTACCACATGCTGTGTCACCCCCAAACCCTGCATGCACCATGCAGGCTACTGAATCGAGGCGTGGTGATGCAGTCCTGTAACCCCAGCACTGGGGAGGCTGAGGCAGGAAGATCACTGTAAGTCTGAGCTGCATAGACACACTCTGCTCCTAATGAAGAAATATAAGATATTAAAATGTTTTTATCTTATGATAGTCATTTCCTTTTGAACCTTTTCTTTTCTCCAATGATCTCTTTAAGTCTCTAATATCATGATTCACTTCTTGTAGCTCTTAGAGGTTTTTTTCTTACCGTGCATACAAATACAGCTCCCTAAGTTATTTGTGCTTATGTTTGACTCATTTTCCAAATTCTTGTCAGGGTTAAGCTGTCTCAACTCAAACTCACGATTTCCTGATACTTTTGTGCCTAACATGTGAGGCCCATATTTAGAATTTGTGTTGGGCTAGTGTTTTACATATGGTAAGTGGAAGCCAGAGAGATGGTTCAGTAGAATGAGCAGTTGCCTGGCAAGGCCCTGAGTTCAATCATATATATATATATATATATATTAAGTGGGAAGAAGTCAGGTTTTCAAAGGAAGCAACAGCTTGCATGGGGCAAGATAACAACATTTTTGATGAGTATACACCAAATATTTTAATCTGCACTGGACGAATACACTCAAATATGACCCTCTGCAGGGCCTCAGTTGAACAGTAAGTTCCCAAATTACAAACCCATTTCTGGAAATCTTTCACAGATAGAATGGAGCTCATTTTATTCATGTTTTACATTGTAGATTCCTGTCTTAGGTCAAAGACTCATTTGGGAGTACTTACAAGTGTATCTAAATTAGGACGAACTAAATACAACTCATTACGTAGTTTGGGCTTTTCTGAATTTGGGTGTTATGAGTTTCTCTCCTCTAAATCAAGTGCATTTAAAGGGCATGCTTTGATGCTTCAGTCAATAAAGTTGTCCATCCCAACAGTAGAGATCACACCGCTCACCATGGAAGCAGCTTAAAGTTTGGAAAAACTAATAAATTTCAGGTGGCCACTGACATAGCTCAGCCAGGGTTTTATGATTCTTTTGTTCCAATATGCTTTTATCATGTTATTGTCATTGTAGTGAACAGTTCCTTAGTAGAACTAGATATTTTTAGGAGACTTTGTCACAAAATCCTTGCCATCCATGAAAACTTCACCTGAGTGGAGCCTATCACTGAACTTCCCTTTTCCTATTAATTGAATCAAGCACCTAAAAGGAATTCAGGGGACTGGCATGAAGTAGCAGCCTCATAACCTTACAATGTATGCCTGAGAAGGGCAAAGCAGTGTGGTCAGAAAACATCTACAATAGTCTGTAGCATGACTGAACATCAAGAGTAGGAATTTTTTCTTTAAGTTTGCTATCTTTTAAAAGAATTTCACCTGTATTCCCTTTCTTCTCTTTTCTCGGCTATGTCAACACTGTGTGAAGATGAAGACTTGTGCAGAGCTGCTATGAAACCATCTCGCAGCAATGGCTATGTTATGGATATTCGACTGTCAAATGCCATCCTCTCATAAAAGGAAGAAATGGAGACTTCAGCTCAGAATCCCATCATGCCCCAAGCTAAAGTGATACCACCTATCTCTTGATTTCAGAAAAAATTTACCACCTTAGACATTTTACCAAAAGGAAATACCTTCGACTTAAGCAACTACTGGACAGTGAAGCCTGTACTTCATGAGAAAAAACTCGATAACAGAGCAACACAACACATCATGATGTCCTCATCTACAAAAGATGAAGAAATAATAACCACCTATGCCTGGAGACAAAACCAACAATTTGAATATTTTTACCAAAAGGAAAGATTAGGAACATAAGGAACTCGTGGAGAATGAAAAGTGTACCTCATGAAAGAGAAACTTCTTAAGGCAGCAACACATAACCTTTCTTGATTAATCTGAGCACCACTACAAACACTGAAGCAGGAGCACCCCGCTGAAACAGACATTGGCTTACTTCACAAGCCAAAGTCTGTGTGTGAGTTTTATCATCTTTTCAAAATAAGACTTTAAATTTAAACTCACTTAAAATTTCAGTTTTTAAAAATGAACTATAAGCACATCAAAGATCTAATTTTTTTAAAAAATTAAAGGTCTAAATGAGTTTAGATTTAAACATTTACTCGAAAAACCTCATGGAGCTCAGAGACATTGGCCTGTGAAGTAAGCGAATATCTCTTTCATCTGGGTAGTCCTGCTTTGCAGGGTTTGTAACTCTGCTCACATCAGGGAAGAAAGGAGGTGTGTTGCTACTTTAAAAATGAGTACTAATACTACTGCTATCCCTCTGTGCCTACTGCTCTGTATCCCCTTGGGATTTTGTCATACCACCTTTAAATTACCAAGGAAATAGTTTGTTGCAGGGTGCAGAGGGTAAAATCCAGGACCTTAGACATGTCCTGGGCAGTCTCCACCATGGAGCTACCCACCATGGGCATACATGGGAGTGTTCTCTCATGAGGCTGATATGCAGTATGCTACATCACTGTCAGGTATTGAAGGTTTTTCCTTTATGTGCTATCATTTAGTTGCTAGTCACTAATCTTAATCAGCTTATACCCAAAAGGTGCTGGACAACAACACATGCCATTTGTGATCTTGGAAATCGCTAAGTACTAGGCCAATGGCATGTCTGTAATCCTAAATAGAAAGTGTCAGTTATTCTCTGTCACCTTGTTTGGCTTATTGATGCATCTTGTCACTTCTCAATTGAACTTACCAAATTCTGAGGATATTCCTCTTGATAAACATGTTTATATTTCCATAATGACAACAAACATGGTGGCTCAGTGATGATTAGAGACCTTGGACTACAATGTGTCCCAATATTTTTAAGCCATTTCAAGATGTAGACTACTGTGCATGTGTCTTCTGGTGTAGTGAAACAAGTATAAAAGCTTCCAGTTTAACATCTTTGGACTGTTATGTGCAGCAAAGAATTTTTCTCCTCTTATGAAATTATAGTTTGAAGGCTCTGACATAATTTTGATCAGTTAAATTTATTGTCTCTACATGTTGTAAAGGAAAATTACTAAGGCTAGTGTGCATTCACACGCAATGAAAAGGAATTAGACTCCATTGGAATACTTCAGTTGGGCAAATTTGGAATATTAAGCATTTAATTTTATATTTTCTCTGGTGTCCACTAAAGGGAATAGAAAATACAACAAGATGATAACATCAAATTAAAAGTTTATATCTGCCATTAAGGAATTTAAAATTTGCAGACAACACATGAAGAACTTGTAAGTTCTATATATCCATTGGTTTTAGTTTCAAGGAACATTGTGATTTTTGGAATGTTATGAACATCAAAGAATTTTTCCTCCTCTTACTAAACAGTAGTTTGATAGCACTGAACTATAAGTTTGATCAGTTAAATTTATTTTCTCTAGAGGTTGTAAAGGGAAATTACTAAGAGTAGTGTACATACACAGCAATGAAAAGGAATTAGACTCCATTAGAAGCAAGGGCTATGAATGTTTATTTTAAAATCTATGCTACATGTTCCCTAATTCAAGGGATTCTGCTACAGAGACAACTTTGATCTACCTTAAGAATGTTGCTACATAGCACAAAGTACAAAGTTTAAGTTATCTTGGAAGATTTAGAACAATAGCACCTAAATTTGAAAAAAATTAAACAACATGAATATTCTTGCCACAGTGAAGTGTATATTACTTACCTCTCAAATGTAATACCAGCAAGCTTGCCTCTAACAACTGCTACAACTGCTTCTCACAGTGTGATTCCACCCAACCTGTTGTGTGCTGCTGGCTGCAACACTCTTCAAAGAGACTTGAATGAAGATAAACAGCAATATTACCATCTCTCACCTAAAAGGACAACTGGGAGTGAAGATACAATTTGAAGATGTGCATATCGATGGTGGCCTTACTTTGAAAACATACAAATCTGTAAAGTGGTTTTTCATGCTCTTGTTAATATTTTGTAAGCTAATAAACTTTTGATGAAAGCAAAGCTAGTATTTTTGTTAGAACTTCTCTATGCTCACAACTCTTCAGAATTTAAATTTTTTTAATGATTCTACATATGTTTCAAATGTTGTCAAATGGATCCCACAAAAGCTGCCCAAAATAAACATCATCTGGGATGTTTTCATTTACGACGCAACAATAATGTACATTGACAGTGTGTTTATGGAGGAAACCATGTGATAAGATAACCTGTCTTTACACAAGCCAAAGAGAAATGAGCAATAGAAATATAAATGTAGCAGAAGGGTTTGAAGTTTGCAGAGAGTAACTGTAACTAAATGAAGCACAAAAAATAAAGATGGAGGTGCAATGCAGACGGTCACCAAAACAGTTCACACAGTTTTACATTAACATACTGTTTTCAAGCACATAGTTCATTGGAAATGGACAAAGGATCTGGAAGCTTTCACCTAGAACTAACAGGCTAGAGTTAACATTCACTGGGAAAATAACCTGCCTGGTACAGGCAACGTACTGATATTGATACCGAGTACAAAAAAATAAATATAGATACATAGACGATAGATTG